AATGGCTGCTACTGTAACCTGCAGGTCATTGTGTGCATAATATGTTGGAGTGGACTCACTTTGGAGGAAGGTTTCCAAGCTTCGGACATAATCTGCATACTTCAGCGGATCAGATTTATTGAATGATATATCCAAGGAGTTTGGGCGGATCACCAATCCTGCAGCAAAACAAACATGAGGCGAGTAAACAGACAGAAAGAGAGCTTCCATCCAACCATCACTATTATCAGGGAAAGTTTTCCAAACGGATCAATGTAAAAAGCAGCTGTAAAGTAGAACATTAGTGTTGCATTATCCGAGTCGGAGGAGAATGAATAATAAATGTCTGAGAGGTGCTGCCCTATAGATGATGGTGCCGTTCCTCAGGTGGGTTGGGACACTGACCTGGATTGGGGAGGCGGTCCCTGTACCTCGGCACATAGTCATCCAGAGTGAGCAGCATCACCCACATGGTCAGGGCGAACATGCTGGCCAGGAAACAGTAGAAGACCAGGTAGAAGAGCAGGATGAGGGCTGCAGCAAACACACAGAGCAGGATGAGAATCGGTGGGACGCAGTTTGAACTCTCACTCTGAGGAAACCATTTTGAAACCCCCCCACCAACCTGATAACACAGGTTTTACCATAACAGCCCGCCCCCCCTCCACAGAGTGTTCAGATCAGTTCTTACTGCTCTAATCATCTAAGAGCTGCAGGGAGGAAGCGTCTGATTCACCAGCATCCTGTCCGAAACTCTGGAGCAACCCAGAAAATAATAAAATCACGCCCCCACCCCACACCCTATCCCCCCCTACATCGTTCTCCTCATTCCTCCCCAGCAGTATCCCACAATGCACCTGTCCAGTGCGAAAAACACAGAGCGAGGGGAATCCCATTTGACCTTGACAGGCATGCTAATGTGGGCGGCCATGCAACTGCAATGGAGCATCCCACTGCACAGCAGCAGGGGGCCCAGGCTGCCTGAAGAGCCCCGCTGCAGCCTATAGGAGCTGGCTGAGGGGGGGTCAGGGGGGGGGCATGTTACCAGCTCAAATCTGGGGAGAAATGTTACATAAAATAAAAATCTTCATGGGGAGAAATGTTACATAAAATAAAAATCTTCA